CTTCCTTTGGAGTTGAATCTGGCGGTCATTATCCTGGACGAAATCGCCTCCCATTGCATCAGGGCTTTCGTTGCCGTTGGTGACATCATGATAGCCACGCCCTCGGTGTGCGTGTGGTTATCTTCTGGGTGACCGGAGTAGATCACTGACTCACCTGTTGACAATTTGGTGAGTCCACTCCCATTCCATCTGCTTTCACATATTCCCAGCACTTGTATTCCGTATCTTTTCATCTCGTTGGCGATCTGGGCAGCTTTCCCAGTCTCGTACATAGTTCGGACGTTCCATGTTCCCACACAGACTTTTTCTTTTGGTGCAAGAGGTTCATCATACTGAAGTTTCTTTAGCAATTTTTGTTTACAGGGTGGGGTTGCTAGCCTCACGCCTGAGAAAGGAATGATTACATTAAGTTAAAGTTTAGAGAGAAGCAACTTTTTGGGTTGCTCCCCTCAAAATCAGAAAATAACGGACAAACAATGAGAACAACATCAACAAAGGAAACAGTTCACAGAAAAAAGGGCAAAAAGCGACGACAACTATACAATAAAACAACATGCAATATAGTTCAGCACAGTTAACTAAAATGATATCTTAACCATAAACTCACTGACTTGGAGCAACTTGAACATATAAATCCAACAATATATACAATTATAGATGTGTTTATGTTTAAAAATTCCACAAATCCAAATAGTTAGTTATATGTATTATCTGTCAATAAGATTGTATTTTTTGGATTCAGTGTTCGAAAGGTAAATAATTGTGATAGTTTCCACAAACTCTTGGCATAAAATTTAACAGAAACGAGAGTTTTAATTAATAAGCGAAATGTAGCGCAGTTAACGAGCGAACGTCTAATTCATGACAGGGATTGTTGCTTCCAGTTGAAAGGAAGCTGGTTGGAATAAACCCATTCATTGTTCATTCACTCAGTGTTCATCATCATTGAGAAGAGGTATATATTAAACGGACGAGAAGACTTCGGAGGATCTGGAGTTAGCGGATTATTTATGTCTAATGTCACTGAAAGTCAAAGATCTACGAATGAAAGCGAACGAATTGGTTGAAGAGGTGGGCAGAGAATACAAGACTTAGTGTCAACACATAGGAAGGAGAATTGATGAATACGCATATTTAGTACCAGTCGTTTTCAGCCAAGGGGGGGGAAATCGAACAAGGCCACCTGTCAATGCAGTTGAAGATTGAACGATCAATTCATGGTTGTTTGCTCAAAACCAACTTCCCCAATTTTCGCGGAGGCATCAATACGACAGTCATCGTCTCATCGGTCGCTGTTCAGAAAGAAGTCAGCAGAAAACCGTCAGAAGTAATATTGTGATTTATTACTGTAATATTTGTTCACAGATCTCAGTTATAACAATATTTATATGTTGGTGTAACAATAAAGAATCCTCGAGTCAAGAAATGGTGTTTTGGTTTTTTCGTCCGTTATAACTAAGCGTTTCTGAAAACTTCAAGGAACAGCGTGGGCCCGAGCGTAGCAAGAGCTGGGCATTAACGGTTTATGAGACGTCGCTGACACCACCTCTTTCACTTCTTTAGGCAATATAATTTCAGCTGTAGGTGGTGGCACGGGTGACGATGACGAAGTCAGGATCAGGAAAACAAGGGAGAAATTCGTTGCTCTAAGATGAGTGTGGAATTTTTCGGCAATCAGCATGAAGAACGAGATTCGGATCTTCAACACTGAAGTTAAATTAGTGCTTCTACACGGCCTATAGACTTGACCACGTGTCACGAAAAATGCTGCCAACAAGCCTGAGATTTTCCTCAGAGGCTGTCTTAATTGTTTCAGTGATCAAGATCAGATGGCCAACTAGAGAGGGCAAGCACTATGGAAATATAGAGTCGAACCAGCCACGTACCTATTACCCAACAAGTATCCTAAAGAAAACAGAGAGACCGTTGACTGACACAGTATACCATGCCCTCAAGTGGAACCTAAATGGGAAACAACGAGTTGAAGATCTAGGAGTGTCGTGGAAGATATCATATGAGGAGGATTTGAAAGCTTGTGCGTGACCGTGGAGCCAGATGAAAAAGGTAGCACGGGATATAATTGTGATGAAAATAATTCGAGTAGGCGTACAGATGGACATATTGCTACTGCACTTACTGAATGAGATCACTTCAACCTAGTGTGTTCCGAAGTCAAGATTAAATGCAAAAGTGCGGTAATGTGATGAAAAGACAAGGAGAAAACGCAATGATACTATTTCAACATTTTGTTTTTCTCTATCATGTATATGAATACCTTGTTTCAGTGTGTCCGCACTAATTCATTTTTGACGCCAAGCGACACAAATTGTTATTTGTTGTTTATTTTTCACAATAATTCCTTCAAGGCTGTCTTAACTGTCATACCTTTATTGTCAAAAAATCTCGTAACGATTTTCGCTTCTCTGTCAAAAAGGTGGGTTTCCGCTATGTTCTTTATCAAGGGATTGACACACATGTGTCAATGTTGCAGAGTTCTGTGGATGCAGAAACATTTGCAACCTCATAATGAGCTCCGGAGGCCTTTAAAAAGTTGGGAATCTATTTTTTTGAGGTGAAGAATATATATCTGTCTAAAAATTATAAACAATATGGAACCTGCTGTATTGTACATATATTCACATATGGATATTTTTCTGTCAGTATAACAGCTGAATGAAGTTTCCAGGTGCATTTTCAATTGTTCAGAAAAATGTAGGTTAGTTGGAGGTGAAAACGCAAAAGAAAGGTAAATAATCTGCTGCTCAGATATCTGGGCCAAATGAGTATGAACTTACAATTCAGTTTTGTGGGTGTTTTAACTGTGGTATATATCTCAGTAAGGACATTAAAATATGCAAGTTAGATATAGTTCCGACAATTCGATCCCATGCACTGTTCGTTTCACTTTTTAGAGGTTGACGATACAGACGTTCGCGAACAGTACTGGATATATTAACGCAAGCTCTTATACCAACGACTTCTAACTTATTTTATTCTCGCGTAACACAGGAAAAGCAAAACACCACAATTGATTGTCCAAATTACGAGATATATTTCGGAACCAAATCGTGGATTGAAGTGGAAGCTAAGCTAGCTAGTTATCGTGCACAACAGTGACACGACGGAGTACCAAATGGCGGGGATGCTTGACTGAAAGCCTTCAGCTAAACAAGTCAACTTAAACTCTAAGGGTCAGCATCCGATGTTCACTGATGATTCTTATGGTCAATAATTTTGGGAAATCATTTACCGCTACAAATTTCTAAAATGTTGAAGACCCTTAGAAATACAATATAGTAATTAAACTGATCAGAAAACCCTGACATTCTGTGATCATTCAAGCCCTAATAACAACAAAACGACAAATTTACAAGGTTAATATGGTTGAAAAACTAGACCATACTAATTTAATCATAAACTTATTTTAAACTATATTGGCTTAAAAGGGTAAAGTGGGTTAATTATGTATCATTTTAACCCGCTTGTGCCCACGTCCTTGCTTATCAAAATTACCCATTTGGCCCACCTTTGCCCACATTATCCAGGTGCATTTTCTGACTGGGTAGATTCTGATATTTTGGTCTACTTAACATCACAATGCGAGTTTATCTTCCGATTTCTCAAGAGCTCTTCTTCAAAAGCCCGGAATATCCACTGTTTCCGATTGCTAACTACTCACAGACTCTTTGGTTTATAATAACGTTAAGCAACTTGCATTATTGCACTTGTCAGCCACTCACACGACACTGGCTGGACTCCCTGATGACTAGACGTTAACTAGTTCACCAGCTGATAGTAAGCTCGGAAATGAGGAATTGTTGGGCAACCAAATCCGGAAAAAACAACACTACTGATAAATCTTCAAGGCCTGAAGCCTTATTTTCCATTTGGAAAAGCAAAGAATGAAAAAATGTATTATAAAGAAAAGGGAAAATACCCTCATAAGGAGAAAATAAATGATGCTAGGCGATGTTCCCCTTTTTAGTTTGAATTTCCTTTAGCTAGTCAGACCATTTATAATTTCGAGTTGTCGTTTCATAAGGGTTGCCACAGCGAGCAAAGTATCAATATTTTACTGGTTTCTGTCACCTAAAAATAAAAATTAGTGCTTGTATCTAGTGACAGTTTAGTCAGATTCAGGCTTCTGTTTTAACTTTGATAGTAATCCCTTCACGAATTGAATTAGTCTTTTGAGATAAAAATACCTTAAGTGAGATTAGATTAAAAATGTCAATAATCCCAGAAATTACTAACTGTTTTTTGAGCCATGTAGGTATGCTGTCTGTTTAGCTTCCTGATGATGTTAAGAACCAATAAGTGGAAAGGTTCGATGACGTAGCTCATCTCTCAAAAGTTATCTTTGTCACACTAGTTCCCATCCATCCTAGTACCATTGTATTCCTACACCTATATATTTTAAGTCCGCCGTTGAAGTATGACAACCTAATATGATGCAATTGAGTGAGAATTTGTATGCTGCTTAGTCACTCAGACTGCCAATCTTAGATCATCTAACCGAGGATTAGGGAATTTAGCACATAGTGTCATCTCAGTACAGAAACTTTGAAGTGCATGTCCATGTTATCTGAGGGATAATATCTATAAGCACTCTGTTTAGTCTACTTGTAAAAGGATTCTGAATTTTCTTTGCATTTTGATAATCTTGTCTTTCTATTGTCATTTTCTTCTCAGAGTGAAAATGCTTTTAAATACTTTTTGACCTGTTAGATGATATACTATTCCAGTTTACGCTGTTAAGAGTTTATTGAATTATTCTGTTATGATGAAAGCCTAAAACTATTTCACATGAAAGCTGGTAATAATTATGCATGATGCTTGAAATCAACTTCGTAACTATGAGTTACTTTTAAAACATTTCACTGAGGGTATTTCAGATATAATTATAATTAATAATTAATTAATTATAATATAATTAAACATTTCTAGTCGTAAATATGGTTATTGTAAAAAAGAATTTCTTTCTTTCAGAATTAAATACAATGTCTGAGATAATAAATCTTATTCATAAAGGTGATAATGAAGAAATACAAAAGTTTCTGAAAGTTTTTGACAAAGATCCAAGTGGTTATCTTCAATCCATGAATGAACATGATAAAATGCAAAAGTCTGCAATTGAATTATTTACAATATTAGACTGTCGAAATATTATTGAAAAGGCTATCAGTAATGGTTATAACGAATTACATATAAATGGGATAGATGGTAAGACGAAGATTTTCACTAAATTTTTACTTTTTGAAAGGATGCAATCTAGCACATTATGCAGCTATGTGGAATCGAGCAGATTTATTAAAATATTTATACTTTGCTGGTGTAGATATGTATAGTAAAAATGTTTACGGTGAAACAGCGCATAAATTAGCCGTTAAATATGAACAAAAAGAAGCAATGCATATGTTAGAGTGGATAGGTAATAAATGATATAAACTGTTTTCATAAAAATGCTTTTCTTTAATTTTTTTAGAATGCCGTGATCAGTTTCTTACACTTATTCGAATGGTTAGAGAAATTTTAGCTACTGCTGATAAGAATGACTATACAAGAGAAGAAAGAGTAAGTTGTAGTTTAATTTCCTTATGAAGGTACTTCATACTTCACTTAAAAAAATGATGTTTAGATGAAAGCTTGATGTGATCTGAGGTTTATGATTGGTCATTCCTTAAAAATTTTATTCCTTTGCGTTCTGAGTGGAACATGGGTATCCAAAGCTTCTTTCTTTAAAGTTTTAGCTGTAGGGGTGCTTACTTTTTTACAGTATGGGGTCGTTAGCTTCAACCCTAACCTTCTTTCTATATCATGCTTACCGCCGGCTAAGCGAGGTTGAGAGAAAAGAATACTCTGTACCACAGATAAGAAGACTGTAGAAGATCAGGATTTCATGCGTGGATGATTTATATTTAATATCACGCAAACTCGAAGACTTACAGGCGAAAAATAGCAAACTGGTTGAAGAAGCAGCCAGAGAAGACAGGACTCCAGGTGAACACAGAGAAGACTGAGGTGGTGAAGGCAACCAACAATCCAACAGCAGCAACAACAAGCACTCGTCACCATCAAATGGAGAGATTTGACAGAGGTTATTTCCTTTTACTTACCCGGCTAGGAAGCATCGTTTCAACCACAGGCATTTGGACTGGATGAAGATGTGAAAGCCAGCCAGAATCGGAAAGACATGATACGCCTTCATCAACCTGAAACCAGTTTGAAAATCTTCAGCACTCTGCCTCAGCCAGCACAAACAATAGGATTAAGATTTTCCACACAAATGTGAAGTCAGTCAGTTCTTCTATATGGGTCAGAAACTTGGCCAGAGTGTCACGAAAAGGATTTCCAACAAGCTACAGACTTTAAACAACAGCTGCGCTCGCCGGCTGCATATTGAAGATCGAATGAATGGGCAGAAAGAATCAGTAACAGGAAACTCTGTCTGGAAACCAACCAACCAAGAGCCGATCGCTCAACAAGTATGTAGGAGAAAATGGAGATGGATTGGGCATACGTTGAGGAAACCGCCAAATTACATCGCACACCAGGCTAGCCCTCGAGTGGAATCTAAATGGGAAGCGACGAGTGGGTTGCCCTACATTGACATGGTGGAGATCGTGTAGCGAGGAGAAGATGAGCAATCATGGGCAATCGTGGACCCAGCTGAATTGAAGAGGACGACAGAAAATATAAGAAAGTGGAGATGTGTTGTTGAAGTCCTATGTTCAACTTGGAATCCAAGGGAATAATAAATATAACAATATAAGCGAAATTAAGGAGTGCGTCTCCCTGGGATCGAAAACAGAACTACGTGCGTGGTAGGGGAGCAGTTTTCTGTTGGATCACCGACAGGGAAATCAAAATGGAATTTAGGCTTACTGACTTCCTATAAAGTGCTTAGTAAAAAGGAAAGATTGACTGCAGTTCATGAGATCAGTTACCAGCTTCGCGATATTGAACTTTCCGAATAATCTGCTAAACAAATTATGTTTATGCATCAGGTTACAGTCTGACACTATGTTATACTTTTCAGTCTTGCAAAAGTTATTAACGATGGGGAATATTTGTTTGAAGGTGGTCGCAGGTATTTGAATACTTTTGATCTGTAAAACAACAAAATAATTATTTGTTGAAATTATCAGTTGAATTTCTCTTTGAGTGAGTTTTACAGCACCGCAATCCTCGGTCTCTGCTGACATGTCGGCCTCTATAATAAGAATGATGATAGTTTCAAGCAATAACAAGGAATAATCGTTGCATGAGAGGTGGCTATCTTAGCCCATTTGTCTAGTGGATAACATTTTGGTGTTTGGCACAGTGACTGCTGGCTGAAAGTCTCAGTGGAACACCATGACTCAGTGGAATGGATGTAGATACATCCAGGTGATGAGTCCCGAACGGGGTGAAACACGTCACAATTCTTGCAGAAACAACACCTACAAGTTATCAATCCATAAGTGAGTAAATAATCGTAGAACAAATGTTCGATGACTAGTGATTAGTAGAATGGTTCAGAGTAAGATTATTACAGAAGAAATAAATCTTCAACAAAGTAACCATAGCGTTAAATAATCCCAAACGATAAATGTTAACCAACATTGAAATTCAAACAATCATTATTAAATAGGCAAGAAGCAACTAGTATACAGTGTAATAAAATATTTACAAATTTACTCAGTCGGTGGTGGCTATCAGTGGAATCACGAACATGCGTTTCATCTCATTGAGGACTCGTCAACCTGATGTACCTGTCTCTCCAGTAAGCTACGGTATTCCCATTGAGAGTGGAAGTTACATCAAAAAACATTTATTATCCTGTCGAATTCCATGATTTTCATGAAAAGGATGACTAATACCATTTATGGCACTTACTGCAATCAATCTCAGGTCAAATTATACCCTTTACTCATGTTCAACAATATGGTACCAACACTGTCAATAAAGAACTGGTATTTCCATAATACACTTTTGAATTGCCAGAATTAAAAAAGCCACTAAAAAACATAAAGTCCTGAGTTACTGAGTATTTAAATTTAGGTAACTCTAGTACTACTAGATTAAGGCCTTAGATTATACTTCTACCTAATTAGCGAAAAAGAGTCAATGACAACTTGTCGTTTTACCGTTTTCTCAATAGATGACGTTACCTTTAGAAACACAGACTCAGATTTACCGAAAAAATCTGATTTGACTAAAGCTGTATTCAAAAAGTTTCAATTCCATGAAGACATTCTAGTTTATTTCACATAGTGTTATTCCCTACTTGTGCCATTTTGGATGTCAGAGAGATAAAACCCTACAGAGTGAATGATTTAAATCAAATCCACAATTTGCAAATTAATTAGTAATTTTCAATTTAACGCATTTCGAGGAGATGAAACTTCACCACCAGAATCATTTCGCTCCTCTGGGCGCGGGAAACCGAATGAGATGTGTAAATTGAGAATTAATTTTCAATTATTGGTTTGTAGGGATTTGATTGATTGGTTACAAGATTTCATCATGAGCTGACATCGGTTAGAGAACCATTGGAGAAACTGGGAGTATTAGACAGCTGTTTCGTCCTTGTTTGGGACCCTTCATTAGTACTTACCCAACACCAGGGTTCGAACCTAGGATATTCTGGTTACAAGGCTAGCGAGCTCGTAGACCATTATGCCATCGGGACCCGATCCAATAGCTCATGAATTCCAACTTCTGCCAATTCATGACACAGTGCAAATTAATTTACCAGTCGTAAATTTCATTTAAGGGATTACCAGTTTGTCAAAGTGGCTTGCCAGGAATCGGGCGTTTGGGACTGATTCAGTTATCTGAGCTAAATCAGACTGCGTACAACGCTGTTAATCTCGGCCCGAAATATAGGTGGGTAATTTTTTATGGCGATTATAGTACTAGTCACAGTATCCAGCATACTTTATTCTTTTTTCACCAGTTCTCTGCTGCTAGTGTTCACACTTATGAAAAGGATTAGTTTATGGTAATTACTTATTTCTGACTGCCCATTGTTGAATAGCTTATGTCCTGTTGAAGGATATTCGGCAAGTAGTGAAGATTAGGATTTCAAGGGGTAATTAAAAAAATTATGATCTGAAACAATAACCGTTAGAGAATGACTCAACTACGCATTTGTCTTAGACACTAGAACATTTTTCAAAATAACGAAATTTCGTAACAACGTTATACTTTAGAGTACCTTCAACTCCACGAAGAATATCTTATCTTGTCGCATATATCCTCAGTCGTCATACGCAAAAGCTACAATGATTTTAAAAGTTCACTGCTACTTCTCCTGTTTGATTCTTCATTGTATTTTATTTCTTTTTTGTTTTGGCATTTATAGAAAATTGCAGATGCTGCTTGTCTTGATGGCGAATCATGGATAAATAAAAACAAAGAAGCTACTCTTAGCATGTTAAAAACGAAAAAAGAACAAATTGAATTAATTGTAGAACCATTTTTTAGAAGAAGAACACCAGTGTATTAACTTTGACAACTTTATAGTTGATTTAGTTTTGGGCTTTGTTTTGATACCTTCTTTCCTGTACTATAACTACGAATAGTACTAGGAGACGTCTAGGAAAATATATAGATTGGTATTTGTATTTACAGGCTGTTTTCCTAAGTGTGAAATAGGATATTGCTTTTAAACATACTACATTGTCCAGGGAGTATACTGTATGAATTAGTTGAGTGTAATTAGAACCAATATAATAATAGGAAAGAAGTCTTTTTATTTGAAACAAAATTTGAATAACTGTATCAAAATTAGCAATAAAAAGATGATGGTTATTACAAAACACTAGGGGACTTGAACAGTCAAAGTTATTATTGAAACTATGTAAAATATTCAAGTTTTAGTTTGTGGAGATTTGGTTAGTTTCACGTTTGACTACGGACTGATATCAGTCGGGGAGGCGTTAAAACCAAAGAGTATCGGACAACTGTTTCGTCCTGGTTCGGGACTTTTCATCAGTATGTGCCTATAACCCAACAAGGGATAAAAATCTAAAATGCCTTTAGCTCACTAATTTGATTTTATGACTGACTGACTGGATTCAACATAGGATTTTGCATAGATCTGCAGCAGTTCGAGTTGCCACACTCCATGTACTACACAAAGCAAGGGAAGAAAGTAAAGAAAGATTCAAAAAAGAGAGAGATAATGAACAGAATTGTGAGGGAAAAAGAGTAGTAACATGGAAGAACAACAGGTTTATATTGTATATGGCAAAGTACAAAGAGTGAATGCATCTGCGCCATTGAGAACGATTTCGAATCATAGCACCAATTGTCTCCAGTCATTATTTTTATCATCCCTAGGCTCTAAACCAGGAAGCCAGTCCACACTTCCCTACGTGGATGGCCCAACTTATTGTTGTAGATTTAATTGACTGATGCCATGTTTTGGTTTGACCACCACTAGCTTCCTCTTTTCACACCTGATCCTATGGCAGCAGATAACATTGCCTGTTGAGGAAGACGATGGATAGGCATGCTCAATATATTTCCTAGCCATTTCAACCGATGTGACTTCACAACCTCGTCGATTGGTTTTCCCTCCTTATCCAGCATTCGACCGATATCTGACCTCAATTTTTGTCAACCTATTATGGCATCTAAGATGGGAGATAGGCCGCAGACGTTTATGATCAAAGACAGCTAGGCTTTTCAAGTCTTCGATTTTCAGTGGTCAGGTCACAGTCATAAAGGGGAACGGAAAGAACTGCTGAGCAGTACACACGTCCTATGGTCGACAGCCGGATATCACGTCTAAGCCCGAGATGACTTAAGTTGTCAAATGCCAAATGAGCCTGCTGTATACGTAATGAGATTTCGTCAGCAACCAACCAGCTGGGGGTGATGCAACTCCCAAATAAGTAAAGTGGTCAACAACACTCTCTACCACTCTCTACCTCCTGTCCATCTTTAAGCTAGGGGTCAATGAAGTCCAGTCCTTTAGTATCATATTCCATGCCGCCAGGAGCAAATCTCATGACAAACATTCAAAGACTGCTGCCCCTCAGGGTGTTCAGAAGACTGCCGGATTTTGTCAGAGTCTTCACCTAGAAGGATTATATCGTCTGCATATTCTATGTCAACGAGATTACTCCCTAGTAACAAGTCAATCCTTGAGTCACTGAAGTCATTTAGGGTTAAGTCCATTAGTACATGTATGATGAAATTAGATAGGAGGGGAGGCAGTGGGTATCCCTGACGGACTTCAGTGGTTGTCAACACTTCAGATGACAACACTCCGTAGACTCCCATCTGGCTGCATCAGTACGAGCACAGTGCCTTGATCGTTGTGACGTATTTTCTCAGCATTCCCTTCACAGCCAAACATCGCCATAGTAACTCTCAATCGATGGAGTCAAATGCAGCCTTCAGGTTGAGAAATATGACGAGTGTTGGTTCCGCATTAGTAACTTGTCGCTGGCTACGGACCCCCATAGGGTAAGTCGGGATGTACAATTTTTTGGGTTGACCCTTTCTAGCCCCCTCTCCTCACAGTGGAGAGACAGCATAGCTAGCATGCCGGTGGTCTGAGGGAGACACCTTACTGTTGTCACATCCCTCTTTCCAAGCAGTATGACTTTGCTCACAGGCTCCCAGCATAATGTTAGAAGTCTTAAGCTATACCGGTAACTACTTTTAGCCTAATCTCTATCATAACAATCTTTCTAGTATGATGGGACCTGCAGGAATGATAGTTGCAGCCAGTGTAGCTTATTGGGTCACTGCAATATACAAGCCCAACCATTAAGTAAAGGTAGCAGCTATCGGTCAGGATTTGATTTTATATTAGTGTGATAGTAATGAGAAATTAACTGAATTCATAAAAATATTGGTAGAACTAGAACCATCATCCTCTAAGTTGTTGGCTTACCGTTTCTAATGAGTGAGCTGTGAAACTAATGTGCATTTTTCCCTGAGGAATTCTGCCAACTTAGGTTATCAAAAGTTTAGGTGACATAAAGCAAAGAAACTTATATGGACATAAAGCAAAACATGACAATAACGGACACAAGTTCCAGTACAAAGTGAGTATATATTATGTAGTTATCATTATCACTTGTGCATTGAACTCTGTCGACACCATTCGATCACGCATCCTACAAATCCCACGAAATATTTCCCAAAGATCTTCAGCACTCTACGAATTACTCCTCGATGAGTGCCAAAGATTTATACAATACGTTAATGTAGTTTTCAAGAATAAATCGCAGTCTGCTTTGATCCAGCTAACCAATAGTCTGAAGCTGATAAAGACTGACAGTAAATTTGCTGACAACCCTACAAAATTCATGTTCAATTTCCCATCAGTAACGCTTTCTGATTTGCAGCTAGAAGTTTTGTTTTTGGGACGAAGACTTTGCAATACCATCTTCAACCTCAACAAACTCAATGTTCATTTAAAATTTGAAAATTTAATCAGCCAAACGAATGATCTGTTCCCAACTTCGACAAAGGATGACAAAAATTCAAACCAACGATCACTCATTCCTTCCATCATTGGCTCAGTTCAAAAACAAAAGTCCACAACTGCCTTAAAACGCAGCACCGAGAAGAATTAGAAATGCTGAGAGACAACAAAGAACTACTAATAACCCGTCCTGACAAGGGAGCTGGTGTAGTTTCTTCCGGACTGAAAAGACAACATGGAGAAAATGAAGAATACTCTCTCCAGTGAAAGTAAATTTTCTAACCTCCCAACGAAAGGAACAAAATTGAACTGATTGAGAAACAAACTAGAGTCACCTTAAAAAGAATGAAAACTAATCAGTTAATTAGCTGAGGTCTCTATGATCATATCCAACTGACAGGTTCAGCAATATCAAAGTTCTGTGGTTTAACAAAAATACACGAAGTTAGTCACCCACTCTGTCCAGTTATATTCATATCAGTTTCACCTTATCATTTTGTTGAAAAATGGTTTGCCGATATTCGGGAACCTGTAGGAAAACATTTATGCACGTACTAGCTTCGTGAAACGTTCGAATTCATTGATTGCATACAAGATTTGAGTGTTACTAACAAAGGTATGTTATCTTTCGACATCGAATCACTGTTCACTAATGTCCCAATTTGGGAAACTGTGTGTTTTATATGTTAATACATAGATGACAACCAGCACAACATTGGAATAGCAATATCGTGTCTGAAAGAACGGTTACTGAGGTATACTCTCAATGTACAGTTTACCTGCAGTGACACCACCTACAGACAAAAGGATGGCATTACAATGGGATCTTCCTTGGGTCCATTAATAGCATGCTGCTTCATGGCTAGTCTTGAGAACGGCCCACTGAAGTCGTCCAGTGACAATTTGCAACTGTAAAAACGATACATAGATGACATTTTCGTCGTTTGCTGCAACAGTTACGACCAAAATTAGTAGCTGCAAATATTCCATAGCTGCCATTCGGCAATAAAATTCACTCTAGAAACGGAATGAAAATCTCAAATTCCCTTTCTTGATGCACAACTGACAGGACGACCTGACGGAAACTTAAGAAGCTCATCCCATAGAAAACCTACTTGGAACGGTCAACTGAAAAATTTACACAGCCGGGTACCTGGTGAGCGGAAACGAAATCTGATTAGATCCCTTGACACTCGGATCCGACATATCTGCGATCCTGAAGCCCTGGAAGCGGAAGTAGATCTTCTGAAAGAAACCTTCATTTAAAATGGATACCCGCCAAGATTCATCGGCAAGAATATCAGACCAAAAATCCAGTTGAGGGGAAGATTATTTGTTCCAAAAAGGAGCCTTTACACGAATCTGCATTTCGAAGGGGACTTAGCTTGAGATATCCTCAAGAGAAGAATTTCAGTATCTTTGAGGAGAACATTCTTCTTGGTTCACAGAAACCCCACATCTGTCCACTTCTGTGTGGATATATCAATTCACCTGTTGCTGTGGAACCAGCCATATACATTGGTCGTTCGAGGTGGATCCTGTCCAAAACGGTTCAAGAACACTATCCCGCATGTTTGCAAAAAAGTAATATTGGCTTTATAAGGAGTGCGATAATCGAATTCTTTGTCAACAATGGGCATTCCATATGAACAAATGCCTCCTTCAAAGTAACTTACAAAGTGAAGAATAACCTATCAAAGGCAATACGTTTTCGTCTCCTCTGCATTGCTGAAGCCTTAGACATTCAATTTGGAAAAAAACATAGTTATGCATACAAAATGAAATCATTCAATCATTCCTACTATTATGGTAACGACCGTGTTAAAATCTAGTAACTTGGTGTTTATGTACTTGCTTTCCCAACTCCTCATAACTCTTGTATTTATTTACGACTTACATAATTCTATATTTTCATTCGTTTCCATGTTTCCTTTGTTTCTATGTGCATCCTAATCGAAATTCACTTATTAAATTATCCATCTTATTATGCAACTGTAGTACACTTATTCGTCTTCTTTTATACACTGACTAATTTAAAAAAACTATTTTGTTTTGACAGC